CTTTTGATTATTTTCTACTTCCCCTGTTCGGCGATAACGAAATTGCAACATTTTTCCTGATGATAACACTGGTGATTTTATGAGGAGCGGTGGATCATTTAATACTGGATCTTTACCTAATTTTATTCTAATTTTATCTTCATATTTATCTAAATCCGGATTTTCGTCATCTAATTTAATATGTACATATCGGATATCTTTTAGTAAATATGATTCTTCTTCATTTAAATCACATTTTATCATTGTCATACTATCTCTAGCTTCACCTTGACCATATTTAACAAATAGACTGTCCGAATCCATGCTCAGCCAATACTTGTGTTGACCATCATTCAGATGTAACAGACTATTATCAACTGTTGATTGATTTAGTAGTATTTTAAAATTATTTAATATTTTACTGATTTTTACTTGTCTTTCACTAACACTTAATAGAATCGAATACGTATTTTCTTTTGGAGATTTATTAACTGACAACAGTATTTCAAATGGTATTGCTTCATCGCCTTGTTCGATTTCAATTGTTAATATACCTTCAGTTTCCAAATATTCGGTGAAACTACTTGCTCGCCATGGACTCCACAGTTTATTGGGTGGTGAAAATTTTTTTGTTTTTTTTTGTGGCTTTATTACTGGTACTAAAATGAAACACTTAACAGTTTTCATGGTCATTTGTGCGATCTCTATCCAGATTAAATTATAAAAAGGTATCAGGTATCGAAAACGGTATTTTGAACCAGGAAGCCCATTGGCACAGCTAAAACTCTGCATGTTTTTAACCTGAAGAATTGCATCGATTTTTCAGGTACCGAGGTTTTAGAACCTTTCCACTATTTAAGTTTGAGTTCACTTTTTAAGAAATATTTAAGTTTGAAGCAGAGACTGATGATCGCATTTAAAACCTATTAATTCAGCTCAAGGAAGTCTCACAAACATCGGAAAGGTCTCATTTTGATGAAAAATCCTTTCTATCATCGTTAACGGTCATAAATGAAAATAAATCTTCAGATGATTTCTGTAAAAACCGGTTTTTCAAATACTGGCTGAAGATTTCGAGAATTATTTCATTGGATTTTGGAATGTCCCTCACCTAAGAAGTCCTTTTTTCACTTATTTGAAGTTAAAACTGGAAACGCTGAGAAAACATTTGCTCAGTTTTGGAAAGAGCCGCTTTTTCTTAGAAACAATAAAGGTTGGGTCTATTGCAACTCCCGAGAACGTTAAAAATGGCGTCAACCGACGTTTGGACTTTCCTTGCAGTACTTTTCTTACGTCAAGCTTCATCCACTAGATTGTCAAGTTTTTGAACTCTCATGAGTAATGTTGCTTATTCACTCACTGTCACTAACCAACCCTTTTTTCTTCCCCCTCTCCCGCTGATCGAGGTGTCTGTCAAAACAAGAAACTACAATTCGAATCTTTTGAGTCAGAGTGTAGCTCGAGCATCGCTCAAACGTCGGGCGCCCAAATCTCGGTTGAAATTCTTGTTGACATTCCCGGGTGTGTCAACAGCTCCTTGTTCACATGCCTGAACATGGTAATAGCCATTACGAAACATTAAATTACTCAGGAAACGAAGCAAAATTTCATAAAAGCGACGTTTACGCCATCACTTTCGTATCCGAAGTGATGGCTTAAAAAACTTGGCTACACCATCTAACAGCAAAAACTAGATAGCCTCACAAAATGATCGATTGCAGATTCGAGCGGTCGCTCCTGATTTACACATCTAAATTCTATTACGTATTCTAAATCTCAGACCAGAGCTAATCACCTGTATAATTTTTGATCGCACAGCGGCAAAATAAAATTTACTAGCGTAGCAGTTTGCAGCGCAGGAAAAACCTTTTATCCCCCACAAGCAGAGAGTGTGAGTGAAAACTTCTGCACTCTTCTGCAGATAAAAGTTTTTTTAGATGTTTTCCTGTGTACTTTCTTCTCATGGCATTGTTTGTTTATTTCCCTTTCTTCCTATGTCTACAATCAAACGGTTTGTCCACATCTCACATAAAGCCATGGGCTTTCTTAATTTTATTTCTAAATGCATCATAGAGGCATTTGTTAAACATCGCAAAAGGAAAAACTGTTATACCCTAAGTCGAGATATTTTTTTTTCTACTGAACACTATCAGTCTGTATTATACATCGATAGTTATAGACTATTGCCAGTTACTATTTACTATTTTTGTTCTATCTTTTCTCTTTCTGTTATCATAATACCCTAGAGTCACACTACACTCTTAATCACGATTAATTCATAGCGTGACCGCTATCTTAATCACCATCGTCCTGTTCTATTTCTACCATCCGAATGCGGCCTCGAAGACATTTTAAAGGAGAAGAGGGCTTTCCGAAATGATAATTCTATTGCGGGATGTTTCGAAATATAAAGTGTATGATCAACTCTTCTAAAAAAAATCTTTTGAGTTTTGCCCAAACTGGAAAATCCTTTGCTGCGTGAAAAACCCAAAACAATATTTTCCTAAATCAAATGGTGTTAGAAAAAAATCCTTCTGATTTTCACCAAAGCTAGAAAACTCTTCGACTCTTTCTAAAGAACGCTTTTTAGTTTTTTGGTCAAATGGAAAACTCCTTTTTATTTTTAAATACGTCTTTTTCAGTTTAGAAAAAATTTTCTAGTGAGTGTTTGGTTACTAAACCCTTTTAGGCTTTGTAAAGTACTAAACCATTTTCTTTCGGTTTTTCAAAATACGCTTTTTTTTAGAAAGTACTTATCTGCTCATTGTCTTCTTTTCCATCGCAAAATTCTTTCGACTAAGCGGTTCAAAGTGAATATTAAAAGTTTCTCAACGTGCAGTCAGTGAATAAATACAGCCCTCAGTTGTGCTGCATCTCTTCTATCTTGGGGGTATATCTTCATTTATAGCCAGGAGTTTCTTAAGTATTTTTAAGGAGTAGTTGTTCAGTTAAGTGTTTTGCAGATAATTTCTTTGATCAAAAATGTCATCAAGCACACAAAGCGAAGAAAACGAAAATAGCGGGAAGGGGAAACGCACATCATGGTTCAAAAATGAAACAACCGCTTTGTTAAACATTTTCAAAGACGACAAAATCGCGAGTGAAATGGAGAGTCATCGAAATCGAACTGCGTGGAAAATGATTTAAGATAGTTTGGCTTCTGTAGGATATTCCAAAACAATCGAACAAATTAAAATTCGTCATCATTCGATTAAACAGGCCTACACAAGATGCTCTGATGAAAATAAAAAAAACTGGTTCTGACCGAAAATCGACAAAGTTTCATGACGATGTCGCCGAACTGTTTAATAGAAAAGACATCATCAATGCTCCATTTGCGTTGGACACTGATGTCGATGCCGATAAAAAAGTCGTGAACGAGGTCAGTGGTCATTTATTTATTACGTGATTTTTCATGTCTCAGCTTATTGCATCTGATTTCTTTATTCTGCGACTGTTACTGTCTGCATTACCTTTGTCTGTTTAGAGTTTGTCAGAAGAAGAAAAATCTACTTCGAATACTAATAAAATGGAAGATGTTAGCGATGAAACATTGACATAACCGTTGTCCCGATCATCTTCTTCATCTACGTCGACACCATCGAGAATCAAGCATGAAGCCGGTGGACAAGAACTAGGCAAAATAAATAAAAAAAAAATTGTCACCCGTGGAAAAGTTTATACAAGGATATGTGCAAGTCCAGATGTATATGGAAGAGAAATGAATGAAATTTGAAATGGAGCTCGAATAAAAACGTCTGGAAGAGGAAATGAGGCGTCGAAAACAGGATCAAGAACATGAGCTATGTCTCTTTCAAGTACATATCACCGGAAAAAAAATAAAGTTGGTTTAGAGTTGCTGAAAAGTGGTTTTTCGTATTCAGCACACTCGATAACTCAGAAGAATTTCTGTTTTTGACCCGAGGTACTTCCGAAAGCTTAGGAAAAGTTTTCAAATTAATATTATTTCTCCATGAAAAACTTTTTGCGCCATTTTGTTTCAAAATTTTTCTTAAACTTTCGGAAGTACCCCGAGCCAAAAATAGAAAATCTTCTGGGTTATCGAGTGTGCTGAATACGAAAAATCACTTTTCAGCAACTCTAAACCAACTTTATTTTTTTTGTTCCGGTGATATGTTAGCTCAACTCTCACGAGCACCAGCGTCATCGTCTTACGTTCAACAATATCATCAGGCAGCGCTTGTTAAAATATTTTATTATTAAAAACTAATACGACATGACAACTGGTTTCACAAGAGAAAGATGGAAAAAATGTTTGGACAATATAAAGTGCTGAAAATTGCGTTTTTCTAAAGCCTATGGTGCACAAAGTGCCAAATTCTCAAGAAGAATGATATTGAAAATATGTCTATTTGATTTAACGGTCAAGGAAAAAAAAGTACTTCCTTTCGTGATTTTTAGATGTTTTTTTTCGGCAGTTTTTCTTTGCCTTACATACATTGCAAAAGACTTGTAATCAATAATTATCGATTCAAAATAAAATTTGAGCTTGGTTTCGTCTAAATACACTTAGACTGTATTAGGGACTTGAATAAGTGCACGCATTTAGACGAAACCAAGCTCAAATTTTATTTTGAATCGATAATTATTGATTACAAGTCTTTTGCAATGTATGTAAGGCAAAGAAAAACTGACGAAGAAAAACGTCTAAGGCCGTAGCAACGGCATCCTTTGGCCGTTAGATCAATTGCTGCTGGTAAAAATAAATTAAATAAATTACAAGAACAATTAGATCAATTATTCCAAGGTATGGGAAGAGGAGGAATCTCGAAGCATCTAGAAGAAATTATTCGCAGCGTTCTAGAAAAACAAAAGCAACATGCTCGATCAAAATCACTAAGATCTGAACGTGATACATCTGAATTTGAACCAGGAGCACATTAGTGACAACATTTTTGAGCTCTTTTGTTTGCTTTATCATACTGTATCAATAAAAAACTACTTTATTCTAAAATAAATGTCATATTTGTGCTCACACGAAGTAGAATAATCTATCACGTTGCTCTTACATGTCGCGCATCGTGAGGTATGGACGCCTTGAACAGCGTTTCGCTTCTCGAAAGCATTGTGGAACAAAAGTGTGGGAACAAACATTGTTCTGCATCAAATTCTGCGTGAAACTACTGAAGGAATTTTTGAAATTCGTAAAACTCAATTTTGAATGAAATTTCACGAAAATTTAAACTTTAAAAACCGGTATTCTGGGTCTTAGAAATCGAGTTTAACGAATTTCAAAAATTCTTTCGATTGTTTCACGCAGGATTTGATGCTGAACAATTTTTGTTTCTATACTTTTGCTCCATAATGCTTTCCTAAAGCAAAACGCTGTACAAGGCTTTTTTAAAAATACTTTTTGCATTTAGACTGTTTACGACTCAAACTCAATCCCAAAATTTTCTTTTGTATGTTTTTTAAAGTTCAGACCTTGTTCTTTCAAACAGAAAAACAATTAACTTTCTATAATGTTTCGGGACGGAGAACTATGGTTGCAGATTTCAGCACTTACTTTTGCATCGCAGAATAACTTATAGATGCTAGATTAAAAGAAGTAGACTCTCCGAATGGCTTAATCTGATGTAGCAGTAGCCTAAACATTTTCTTTTCCCCAAAACTCATAATCTTAACTCCTTTTACTTTTCACTTGAAAATAAACATTTCCACGAGATTTAGAATAATTGATTGTCTATGTACCATGTGTTTTTGAGACTGCCATACTGGAAAACAGACCAGTTGTGAAGGTCCTAGAAAATTCGGTACTCCAAACGGCCCATTGATTTTTGATGGTTATGAGCTGTTATATTTTTAGACGAAGAATAATAATGCTCGAGTTTTGTTTGTTCAACAATTATTTATTTTTATTAGATAAAAATGTATTCTCAGAGAGACAATGGTAAAACATAAGTAAAAAGAGTCAACAGTAGTTACTGTATTTTCAAATCTATGTTGTTTGCTATGTTTATTTATGGGTAGGATAATAACAGCAGCTATTTTTATATTGAACTGCTGCTGATATCTCTAAAGTTGCTTGCATCTACTTCTGGAGGAATCGTACTTATCCTAGATATTATGTGGCTAAGGAAGTACACTGACACTAATTGCTCACACTCAATTGACCATAAAAGTGGTGGCGCCATTTCTGAACAGCAAGCTCATTAGAAAGCGAGCTAGTTAAATATTTATGCGCATTTAAGTGCATTTGTGCACGAATTAAGCTACTTTTAAAGAGACATGATATGTCTTGTCCAAATGAAAACAAATGTCTCATTTTTTCATTTTTAAGAACGTTTAATGATCCCTAATTAATTAAAACACAACCCGGTTCATCTAGGATGGTCGTTTCAAAAACGATCGTTACTATTAGGTAACGATTATCGTCATCGGTAAGGATTATCGCTTCTTACCGAATATCATCTACTAATTCTCGGTCAAATTCTATAAAAGAACTACCGTAATACTCACAAGATTTCGTTCCATTCACAAACGTAAAAATGTGACTTCCACAGTGGAACTTTTCAAAGGATTCGATCAAAGTCAATGACGTATCATAATATTATTCAGACAACAGAAAAATGTACTGGCTTTAATCGAGTCGTTTGGAACATTCCACTGTGAGTCTTTTTTTACACCTGTGAGTAGATCGAAATCTTGTGAGTCTTATGGTAGTTTTTCTATAAATTTTGGAGCAAAACCAACTGAGTTATGAAGAATAAACTGAACTAGAGTCATATATATAAACCTGCGTATCTCTTATTTACTAGTTCTCTGATATAAGAAAGAAAAGAAAAAGAAAGAAAGGATAATGAGTTTATCCTTGCTACAAACTCATATTTTTTATCTCGATTTTGCATAGCAAGCGTCAGAAACTTGTCGGTTTTATTGATGAGAAGCACCAACTATGATAACGACAATCGGGAAGAAGCGATAATCAGTTAACCGATACTCGATTATCCGATAATCGGTAAATCATTGAGAACCGATTATCACTTCTTGCCGATTATTGGTAAGATACAATAAAGCGATAAATTATCGTTACCGTTGCATGCCTAGTTACTATAGCAGAAATTGCGCATGCATCACCGACGATATGTATATATATATATATATGCCAGCACGTTCGATCACTTCACATACTTTTGTCTTCCTCTTTTGGTTTTGACAAACTACGAATTAATTCTTTCATCGCTGCATTCGCAGTATTTTGTTGATTAAATTTTTCTGTGAGTTGTTTATTTAATTCGGCGATAGCTGCCTTGTTATGCATCGATACACTGAGGGCTGCAAAGGAAAGAGCTCAACTGAGACCAAACTGCTTATTTTTCTTTGATTTTGACGCAATAAGATATAATATAAACATGATCATCATAATCTGGCTTACCACACAGGCCAGAAAGATCTCCTTCTCCCTTTTCTCCGGGTGATCCCTAGAACAACAAGAACAATTAATTACCTCTAACCAGAAGAAAAATTGTATGGACAGTAATGTTTGGCTAGGAGAAAGCAGTTTAACCTACAACAAGGTTGATATGCTCCATTTTAAAAGATCTTCAAAATACCATTTATCACTATTTCTTATTAAGCAGATAAAGAAAAAATTAGAACCGCGCGCGTTCCAGTAAGAAAAGCAACTATTAAACCCAATCAAGAAGCGCCCCTGCAAAATCGAGCACTGATCAAACAAGCCGTTAAACAGTTAACTCGAAAACATTTTAGCGAGAATGTCATACTTTGCGTAGATATGAAGTTCTTAAAAAGTCATTAATCATTTTTCCAACTGTACTGGACAAAATACCTTTTCTCCCGGTCTACCACTTATACCAATCAAGCCACGGTCACCTGAATATTCAAAATAAACGAAGTTATGATCTCAGCATTTAGCAGCGCTCTTTGTACTTAGACAAGATCGACACAGACTAGAATACTAACGCTTACCCTTCTGTCCTGGTGCGCCATGTTCACCCTGGGAACCTGAAAGAAAGCTAATTCGTCCATCAAAAAGCCTCCAACTGCAAGCCAGAGATCAGTCACAAACACACTTAATCAGAACAATTTTAATGCAATGATACTCTCTAAAAAAAAATCGAATCCTTGGAAACCGATAGAAAAGGGTTTTCGAGCATCCGGAAACCAAAATGGGTTTCCCACAAGCTCTCGAAAACTGAGATGAGTTTCTGAACTAATCTCGGAAATCCATCAAAAGGTTTTCAAAAGTTCAAATAGGTTTCGGAAGCTTTTATCCGTTTCCTATAGTTTCATTTTCGGAAACCCTCTAAGAGTTTTCGAACTCTCGGAAACCTTACAAAATTCTGAGAAACGCTTAAAAGGTTTCCGAAAATGAAACTATAGGAAACGGATAAAAGTTTCCGAAGGTTCCGAAACCTATTTGAACTTTTGAAAACCTTTTGATGGGGTTCCGAGATTAGTTCAGAAACTCATCTCAGTTCAGTGGTGGGCGAGTCCGGGTCATGACTCGGACTCGAGTCGCATTTTTTTAGTGACTCTGACTTGACTCTGACTCGAAACCTGGAAGACGTTGACTCGGCTGTTTGACTCGAGTCATTCATTCGACAAAAATGCTATTCATTAGCTGTTTTGCATACATTTCCTCTTGTATAAATTTGGGTTATTTCTGAATATTCTTTCTTATTTTATTTTATTGTTACGTTTCAACATCAAAGATGCCTTCGTCAGACAAGAGTAGAATAAATGTGAAGAACATATAATTAATTCGAGTATATATATATGTAAAATTAAGAAATAGATAACGAATATGGAAAAGTTGTAGTTCTCTACAAAAATAAATAGTACTCGGAAAAAAATAGAAAAATAATATTGACTCGACTCGACTCGCTCGAAAACTCTGGTGACTCGGACTCGACTCGACTCGAAAAATAGCTTGACTCGTCCAGCACTGTCTCAGTTCTCGAGAGCTTGTGGGAAATCCATTTTGGTTTCCGGATGCTCGAAAACCGTTTTCTTTCGGTTTCCGAGAATACGACTTTTTTTTAGAGAGTACAAATGCAAAGAAAGTATTTTACCTGGTTCTCCAGCAGTTCCTGGTTCGCCATAATCCCCTAAACAAAAACAACCTAAACACATGTCGTCATCACTGCCAGTGGCCTAACCAGAACTTTTAGATCATACAATCAATGTCCATTAGGTCGAAAAAACGAACACCGTATGATAATTCGATAAAAGACCACACAAAAACACATTACGTTAAACCTTTCGCTTGCGAAATCAAATAGTTCAAAATCTCCTTCGCTCCAGACTCATACCACAGCTAGCAGTGGCACAATAAAAGCACTTACGCCGCAGACGGTCACATTATATGCAAGGTACAATACGCGAACAACAACCAACCCTTGGTTCCGACCCTTCTAACAATACCATTACAAAAAATTACTTATATATTAGTGCCTCGACAGCTTCGCAACTCCAAGAAACACATCGGGCTCCAGAGAGTGACACTGGCAAGCACCCGTAGCGAAATCAACCACAACACCAGCGTCACCGCATAGTCCGCTTCCTCCTCATACCTACGCACTAAAACCACAAATTCCTCCCACCAGAACGACATCCGATGCCTGATGTTCTCCAACTCACCTGTTCTCACACACATACTTACCCTTTCGCCCAGCTGGACCTTGTGGTCCCATTACCCCCGGTGTTCCTTGAAAACCCCTTTCGCCTTAGAAAACAAGAAACTCTGTTAAATCGTGGTCAAGAATCTCGCAATTAGATAAAGTTTTCCTTTTGCTCAATGCCTAACCCTTTTCGCACTTATGGTTAATATTATAACGAACAAGATTCTAGAGGGTGTTGAGTTTGTATCTGAACCGAAACACCTTTCATCTGTGTTGACATAGATACTTACCCTTTTCGCCAGCTGGACCTTGTGGCCCCATTACACCTGGTGCTCCTTGACTACCCCTTTCACCTTAGAAAATGAGAAATTCTGTCAAATGTTGGTCAAGAATCTGGTAGTTGGATGAAGTTTCCTCTTTAGAGAGAAAACACTATTCACTGGTTGATCAACTCTAGGACTTGTGGAAAAATGCTTGTAACTTTTTGATGCAACATCATACAGAGCTGTGCAACGTTTTATTCTGAAAAAAAAAGTCTGCTCTACAAATCTAGGTAGTCAGAAAAATGTTTGACTGCATAGATGTTCAGGTAAAAGCTGTTATTTGAAGACCCTGTTTTTCAAGACTGCTATAAAACTTGCTTGAACACCACAAAGAAACACTTTTGGAACCGAAGGCGATAGAGATTCTGAAAGTAAACACTAGTCAGACGACCTCATGGATAATTTCGGGTTGCTGCAACCTCAAAATTAGTAGGTATGTTAAGCACCTACCCCACAGTGGGTATTCAGGCGGACATTTGGTCTAAAACTTGAAGTTTGCTTTTTCTTCATTTGAAGATCATCCTATATACTTCAACTTATGGGCTATCTAATGGCAAAAAGAATTTCTGGTCGAAGTCGGTTCCTAGCGGGAAAAAGTTAAACGGAAAATTCTCTTTATAATTTGATAGCTATTTGTAAAAGGTCAAGTTTACGGAAAACTAAAGAAAAAAAGTGAAGTTTTGAAAGCGAAACCACCGACGATGAAGAGAAAAAGATAAATGAATAGTATGGCAGAAGAGCGTAAGGTACTACTGCTAAGTTTTATTGAAGAAGAAGATGAATGTACTTTGGCAACTGACCCAAACCCAAGTCTTAGATTTGGGTACCCAATACCAAAACCCAATACACCCAAGTCGCTTGGGTTTGGGTTTGTAACATACCTAGTGGTAAGTGGTTTATCAATTTTGGTTTGTAGCAACGTTATAATTTTGAGATTGCGGCAACCCCAAAGTATCCATCCTGTGAGTCAGGCTATCTTCCCGCTGGCTTATCTCAAAACCAATTTTTGCCTGAAAATCCTCATTTCTGCATGTGAGTGGGTCCCTTAATGGTTTAAGATCGATGATAAAGCTTTCGACAAAAACCTTTCAGGGCTTTTTATAGGGTTTAGTTCGCTTATTAAACCCTTTAAGGTAAACGACGCTTTTCTTTCGAGTGTACGCAGAAAAGAAAAATAACTTCCATTAATAGTAACATCTTCTCGCCTAACCAGCTCTTCAGTGAGAAACGTTTGAACTTCGCGTGCTGCTCCAACTCATCTGTATTGAAACAGATACTAACCTTTTTGGCCAACGGCCCCTTGTGGCCCTAGAGGTCCCATTACACCTGGTGTCCCTTGCGCGCCCATGTGACCTTAAAGAAAGTGCAGTGAAAAACCATTAAAGGTCGCGAGATGCTTTTAGTTGGGAGACCGCCACTCCTAGAGGACCTTGGGTTCGTTGTCTCAGTCAAGGTGCAGTTAAGAAAACAATTATTTGATATGTCAAGTAAGTGAATGTTATTTTATTATAGATACCGAAGAATAGGTAACCTGTCAATATTGGCCGAGGGTCTATGAAGAGATAATGCCCCGTTTCTGGCACTAA